GGCAGGTGTGCGGGGCAGGTGTGTGGAGGCAGAGGAGAGCCAATACCACGAGAACAAGCAGGTGTGTGGGCCAGGTGTACGGGGGCAGGGGAGGGCCAGTACCACTAGAGCAGGCAGGTGTGCGGAGCAGGTGTGCAGGCCAGGTGTACAGGGGCAGGAGAGGGTCAGTACCACTAGAGCAGGCAGGTGTGCGGGGTGCCTGGGTAGAGCTGGGGCAGGACCTGAGACGGAGCAGGAGAGGCTGGGGCTGACCTTGGGGCCTTGTTGTTAAAGTAGAACTACCAGCTTCACAGCTGCCGCCAGATTCCGCCATGAGCATGAGCTGTGCAGGCAGGCAGTTGTCCCCAGTAGCTCTGACCCATGATGCTCTCCTCTGGGAGACTTCCCTCCAAAGGGCCTTGTGAGGCTGACTTATCCTGTGGTCTGAGAGTCGTGGGTGTCTTCTCCCGCCCTGTGTCAGACAGAAGGGGTAGCACTGAGTTCACATGGTGGGAAGAGTCTGACGGAGGGCGGGCCTTACAACGCAGGCGTGTCGTTGCTGTCGGCATGTTGCACGGCTGTAAACATGGGCACTAGTGGCGTCGGCTTACTGACAGCCGTGGCCCAGAAGAGCACAGCCACACACCTCCTGGGGTTTGCTTCTTTGGCTCAGTGCTTCAGGGTCACGTTTCCATGGGGCGGCCCAGCTGACGGACCTCGGAACAGAGCGTGTGTGTGTGTGTGTGTGTGTGTGTGTGTGTAGCCTTTGCGTTCTCCCTCCCCGCTTGTCTGTTTGCCTCAGGCTGTGGCCACTGCACGTGTTGAGAGGGGTTTTGTTTATTGGGATACGACGTGTTGCGTTTGTGGTGAAGGTTTGCAACACAGGGGCCTGCTCCACAGTGTCCACACGGTGTGAGTAACACCATGTGGACATCAGGATACATCCGTCTGCTCACTCCCGTTCTTTTCTAACATTCTCGTCAATCTCCTAGAATCCCGTCTCCTTGGTTTAAAGACTTGGTCTAGAATGTTCCATGTCTAACCCCAGTTTAAAGAAGACTTGATGTAGCATGTTCCATGTCTAACATTCTCGTCAATCTCCTAGAATCCCGTCTCCTTGGTTTAAAGACTTGGTCTAGAATGTTCCATGTCTAACACCAGTTTCCTCTTGGGCCTTTTTTCAAAACCACAAAGAAAGCTGCATACCTCCTCAGTTGGCACCTGAGGTCACCTGCCAGAGTCCTTTTCCAAGCATTGAAATGCACTCCCCGGAGCCTCCCTCCCAGGGCTGACCGGGGCCCTGCTGCCCTTCCTGGGGCCTCTCAGCTCTGGGCCCTGATTTGGTGGTGAAGTTCCTCCCACTCTTGCTCTCCGCTGGGGGTGCTACCTCTGGTGCCGGGGTCCCGGGGTGGGGGGACAGGAATCCAGGGGTGGTTGCTGGTGAATTAGTGTTCAACCTGTGCTCCTCACCCTCGTCTCTTTTTCTTCTAGTACGTCCACCACAGTCCCGGCAACTCCAAGCGAGGCTTTGGCATCGACTGCGCCATCCTGTCCTGCCAGGTCTATATCTCCCAGATCCTGGTGGCCTCGGCCCTCGGGGGAGTGGTAGATGCTGTCGGCACCGTCCGAGTCATCCCCACAGTGGCCTCCGTGGGTTCTTTCCTGGGCTTCCTAACGGCCACCTTCCTGGTCATCTATCCTGACGTGTCCGAGGAGGCCAAGGAGGAGCAGAAAGGCCTGTCAGGCCAGCCAGCCAGTGACAACACCGGGAAGCCCATGGTCCTAAAGCTCTCACGGAAGGAGGGCCCCCCAGGGCCCGTGGAGACAGAGTCCATGGTCTGAGTTTACACACACGGCGGGCGGGTGGGCGAGCCGCAGCGGGCCGACTCGGAGCTATATGATGGATGCAGCCCCACGGAGCACACAGACGTAGCGGATCGCATAGCTGTGTAGGGTAGGTTCACGCCACTAGGCAAAAATACCCACAAATTCCGCCCCCCCTCCCACCAATTAAAGAAAAAAAAAAAAATCATTTGAAATATTTTTTAAATTGAAAAAGACCCTTTAATTTCAACACTTACATTGCAGGTATATTATTCTGCATGTTTTTAAATTACAAACCAGATTTTCAATAGAGACAGCACGCAGTTTAGGGGGAAAAAGTGCATTTTTCAGACGGCAGACCTGACACCTCTAGCGTCCGAGCCCAGCGCCCAGCACGGCTGCCACGGCCCAGCCACCAGGGACAGGCTGCAGCCGCCACAAAGTCTTTTGTGATGATTCTGGGGGGACGATTTTTTCTCTTTTCTTTTCTGAAAGTGGTTTTCTTAAAAGAATGGTATCTCTTGATTCCTCCTGTAGTTTGATGCATCATGCCCAGGGCCGCCCTCCACAGGCAGAGGGCAGTGGCATTGGCCACACACCAAAGTTAGGTGGGGGTGGGAGAGAACAGTGTCAATGAGCGCACTCACCCCAGGATCCCTGTAAGTGTACCTGCGTGGCCAGCTCCCTCCAGACCAAGACCATTTGTTGTCGTGGGCAAGGACAGTGCTGACGCTCTTAATTGCACTTTTATCTGGCTTTAAACCATTTGCGGGGAAATCTCAAAGAACAGACTTCCTGACATGGCACTGCCTCCCAACATCACACCACAAAGGCCTACCTCGGGGTGGGGGCAGCTAGCAGGTGCCAGGGGGTCTGTCCCTGGAGCCAGAGGGCGCATGCTAAGCCCTTCTGCCTACATGCCGGGACTGGGAGCCAGGCTCCCAGGGAGCCCCCACTGGTGGGCCCTCCGCACAGTATTCTTGGTCTCGGCGTGGAGCCCACCTGAAAGCCCTGTCGTTGCCTGCTGCTGCCAACGCTCCCACCCCAGATGGGCAGCCTCAGCCCCCCGGGTTCGGGAGCAAAGAGGCCGCCTGCCCCTCACAGTGCGTGCCTGGACAACGCCGTCAGACTCTGTTGCCTCAAGTTGATGTTTTTTTTAGATAAAGTGCATGAGAACCATGCTGAAATATAACCATTCTAAAGCAAATGTACACACACACACACACACATACATATATATATATATATATTTCAAGATGAAGCGAAGCTGTTTTTAAATAAATTACTTGAATCTTCTGTGTATTTGAAAGGAGAGCTTTGTCTGATGAGCTGACCCCACCTGGTTCTGTCGTGGCGGCTAGCCGTGAGATTCTGCTTGTGGGGTCAGGGGTGGATCTTGGAGTGGAGGGATGCGAGTCTGAAATGGGGGCACAGTTGCTGGGGCAGCCTTGTCTTCTGGGTGTGTTGCTGCAGATGGGCTTCTGGACCGCTGCTAAGTGGGATTTGGCTCTGTGCTGGTTGTGTACTGGGAGACACTGTGGTAGCAGACAGACTTGTCCTGCCACAGAAACCCCAGAACCTTAAGCACAGTGTGTGTACCCATATGTCCCCCAGGACTGGCCCGTGACTTGATTTGAGCCTCTCCCAAGTGGGGCTGCCATCCTGCCAGCTAACTCACCCTGAACCTGACCGAGACAGGTAAGAGCAGAGTCGCAGGGGATGGATGCTCCCTCCATGCCTGAAGTCTCTCTCCACCCCTGTCTCACAAGTCCTTGGAGGCCTGAGGCCAGCTGACTGGGGGAGAACTTTCAGGGTGGGTCCCTGAAGCCTCCTGCCCCATGGGTGTCCGGAGACTTTGGTAGGGCAGGTCCCTAAAGCCTGCCCCATGGGTGTCACCCAGAGCCCTGATCACCCAGAGCCTTGCCCCCACCTTCAGGAGCCTTTCAGGATCACGCCAACCTGAGCCACGGGTGCCCCCACGTGTGCATGCTCATATTTCTATGTGTGAATGCACCCGTGTGCGTGCGTGCGTGCGAGCGAGGGAGCACACACTGCCCTCAGGCACATGCAGGTGGAGTGCTGGCAGGAATACCAGGCATGTCCACACAAGACAGGCTGCTCAGTTGACTTGGCAGGGAAGGTGGTACTCGGACCCGCCGGGCACCCTTGTTTGGCACTCCTTGGGGCTGTGTGGGGGCGGCGGGGGGTAGCAGAGCGGGCACGTTTGGCAGTGCTTTAGCTGGCCCAGAGCCTTGCTGTATAAATAGATTTACTACCAAATTAGGGCAACGTCTGTCTGCATGTTTTTCCCTATAAAAGTCAGCCAAGTACAGAACCTTCTAGAGATGCGCCCTGTGAACCCCACGCTTCGAGGGGGAGGGCAGGCAGGGCCTCTAGACCTGCTCACCCTGTTCGGTTGGGAAGGTGGCACCGTGATAGTCCCTTGTGGCTGAGAGCAGCGCCTGGGAGAAGGCCAGGTGAGAGGCTGTGGGGGACATGCCAGCAGGGCCTGGGGCTAGCGGGCAGAGCCAGGTGACCGGAGGTGGCACGTTGAAACATCTTGTCAGCAACAAGGGGGGATACATCCGTGTGTCCTCATGTGTTCACCCCTGGTGCTGACGGGTGGGCCCCCGAGGCACGCTGCCGGGAGCCAGCTCCATCTCTAGGATCTTTGGGGTACGGCAGGAGGGGGCACTGCCCACACCTGCAGTTTGGAAGGCTGGCACTCCCTGGGGGTACATGGAGCATTGATGTCCCATGGACACACTGTTTGCGGACCCTGCCCCAAATCAGCTCTTGCCTGTCCCTGTGCCCCGGGGTCCGAGGTGCTCGAAGGGCCTCTTGCTATCTATCAGATCACTTCTCCCGGCAGTGCCCTGGGACAGCTTTCCGATCTGCTTAGTGTGTCAGATGGAGCACTAAAGGAGCTCCTGCTGCTCCCAGCAGGCCACAGGTTTTTGTGAGGAGCCAGGGATCACAAGGCGCGTTCCACAGACGGAGTGGTCTGTGACCCCGATTCCATGCAGGGCCCCGGGTTTGGTTCTGAACCTTTTCCAGATGACTGTGGGGTGCTGCATCCCTTGGCCATTGACCCTTACATATCTTCCCCATAAGATGACCTGTGTACAGTGTGTTTGCAACTTCTCCACAGCACCCCTTGGAGGCTGGGGCAGGGGGGGCACACCATGGTCATGAACGGACATGTGAGTGTCTTGGGGTTTGGGCCTCCCCAGCTCGCAAACTTGCAAACAAACCCTTCCTTCAGCACACAGCCTCTGCCTGGGGACCCCTCACCAACCCCTCCTGACCAGAGTCTGGAACTCCAGCTGGTCCCTCTCTGAAGGCCTGTCCTGTGGGGTGGAGAAAGTGCAGGTCCTGGGCCGAGGGAGCCACCCCCAGTCCAGGCACCCTGAGCTATGACTGGGCACTGGAGGAGAGAGTTCATGGAGAGCCACAAGAGGGTGCTAGCCACCAAGACAACACCCTAAGCTGGGGGACCACACCTTACCGGAGGGGGCAGGTACCTGACCCGGCGGAGCTTGGCCATGGGGGACACATGGGAACCCTGTGTACCCAGCTTCCTCCCCAGATTCACGTGCAACCACAGGCAGGGAGCCCCAATCTCCCACTCCCACCCCAAAGCCTCCAAATCCCTTCTCTCGCTGTTTGCCTTTTTCTCTCCAAGAGAGTCGGGTCACACTGTAGCCTTACACGCTGCATATGTTCATTCTTGAGCAAAACACTTCAGTCCCTTCCCTTCTTAGCGCACCTGGATGTCCAAGGGGTCTGCTGTGGTTTGGGGGGGAGGGTGTAGGGCACCTGATTATGCACTGTGTATCAAGGACAATTGATTTGCTTATGGTGGGAGCCTCTGCTACCCACTTTTCACTCGGCGTCCTGTCTTCAAGGCTCTCCCATGTCCTTGTCTCATTTCAGCTCAGCAATAGGCCCCGTTGCAGGGGTGGACCATGTGTTCATCTGTTGGCAGACACGTGGGCTGGTCCTGTCTGACTAGTGTAGCGGTGAACTTGGTTCCTGTTGTCGGGTCTTTAGGGCGTTTCTTCACCAACACACTGTAAGCGCCCATGTTTCTGAGAAGTCAGCCTAGCGGCTATGCAGCTGCTGTGGGTTCTTTTCCTTCCTTCCATCAGCGAACGCGCGTGTGTGTGCGCGCGCGTGTGCACACAATCCCAGTCCTGGGAGACGTCCCACTGGAACACGGTGTAACCCTTTCAATGTGTGTGTGTGTTGTGTGTTGTGTGTGTGGGGGTGGGGTGGGGGGAGAAATCCCTCTGGACTGGAACATGGTGTAACCCTTTCAGGGTGCTGTTGGATTCTCTGTCTAGGATTGCACTGAGGAGTGCTGCATCTACAAGGGGACATCAGAAAGTTGGTGGGAAAAAATGAAATTCAAAGATAATGAAGCTGTTTCTGCACATTTTGGGATACCGGTCTGTCATTTTTGCACGGTGGCTTTGCCGCCAGGTGATAATGGCCTCATAGGTCTCCCCTTCAGTCTGGGAATGTAGTGTGTATGGTGTTGGCTGATGCTCTCAGAAGGAAACGCCTCGGCGCTCTTCGGATCGAGTCCACAGTTTTCAGATTGACGTTGTGTTGTTGCTGAATTGTGGTAAACTTGCCCACTGTGAAATGTACTGACCTTCAGCGTGCAGTTCTGACGAATGCAGACGCCCATAGAACTAATGCCCAATTTGAAGACAAGATTTCCTTCCCTCCAGAAACTAGACTCCTTCCAGGTGAGTCCTGGCCCTGAGGTGTGTCAGTATAGTGTTGTCTGTCTGCTGTCCCACAACACACACATTTTTCGGTTGTTACTCACGCTGCTGTCCGTCATTCACGTCCTCCTTATCACCGAGTCCTAGTCCCCGACTCTGAGGGTGTTCTTACAAGAATATGGTGTCTCTGGAACCTTTTAAAAGGGGCCCTGGTGACACTGGAGGTTAGCACTGGGCTGTTCCCATAAAGGTTCATCGCCTTAGGATCGAACCCTCTACACG